CAATTGGTCTTCCCTTTGCCTATTAGGGTTACACACAAATACGCATGCCGTCAAAAAAAAAATTAACATATAGAGAATTCGCTTTGACTTATCGTATCTCCATCATTAAAGTTTGTGTAACGAAAAAAGGTCAAGAGGGAGAAATCAATTAACTTGGTACTTGTATCCTCTGCTCTTCAATGGCCGATTTGAGTTTCGCATCAGGTTAGTTATTCTATTACTGTAAAATTATGTTAGTCTAAAAGTTCTATACAATATATTTATGCAATTTAGTGATTAATGGTTTTGCATAATAGTAAGAATTAAAACTTACATTTGGAGCAAGTAATTTTTTTATATTATTGCTAAATATAACATCATTAGTCTTAATCTCGTAAAACTACGGTTCTTCTATTAGCTTTTGCCTTAATAATTTAGCCAAATGATGTACCTTGTTGACAGCACCGGGCTAATTTGTTTATCAACTTAGAGTTGTTTTGATGATGAAGTGAATACATTTATTTATTGATTTTATAACTACTATTGGAGTTTACCAATTCATTTTAAGTTTCGAGGCAAACTGAATTCTTTTTTTTTTTTCTCTTTTATTGTTATTATTTATTTACTTTATTTTTCTGGCTTAATAAATTTTCTAACTAAAGGAGCTTTTAACTTTGCTGCTTTATTGATTTGTTTTTAAGTGTATAATTGCAGCATGGATGTTAATAGTACTTTTCTTGATTTGTTAGACATATTTGTAACTAATTCAAATATAGCATGGATGTCCATAATTCAAACATATTTATCACACATTAACGTTAGACATATTTGTAACTAAGCATAAATAAAATGTTTAAATTATAGATATCCAACAAGAGAAGTTCAATAAGAGAGATCCCTCTAATCACCAAGACCGTAGACAACATTGTCACCTTCATTTGTTGTAGGGTTAGCACTGAATCCGAAAATAGGAGAAGTAGTGTCTAATTTGAGTGATATAGGAATGTAGGTAGGTAGCTCGACTTGATTTGCATGTTTTGATTTGGAAATCAGTTTGACTAAAATTGGAACAAAGTCCTTTAGCTCATTAATGATGGCAAAAAACTCTACAAAGAAAAAGAAAAGATCGTTTGGCATGTTAGCATCTAAAAATGTGGAATATGATAAAAAAATCATGAATGCCGAGATTGAATAATGGCACTGTAAAGCATGTTACCATACAAAACCCATAAAGAAATAAGCACAAGGTTCATAGTGATACTAGCAAATTCTGAGGTATGTCAAACTTAAAGAAGATTATAAGGATGCAAAATAGTAAGCTTACATTGATTGATGAAAGCTGAAACAAGAAATGCAAACTTCACTTTATGGTAGATAGGAGACTTAATGAAAACAAAGCAAAGGTACATTACTTGGAATATAATGTTTCATCCAAAACAAATCAACAGAAACAAGAACTAAAATCAGAACTTGAAATTGGTACAAGTTAAAAAAGATAAGATAAAACTTATGATTTGGCTGCCATACAAAAGAGCGAGACAAAAATCACTTAGAAAAGCTATGGAAATAATACAAAATAGATATTATATATGTAAACAAAAAATTGAAGAGAAAGATGAATTTATTACTTAAGCTAATACAAAAAAGTATGACATCAAATGAAATCAAAATAGTACTTATTCAATTGTAGAACTGTATAAAACTAGTTATCTTTATAGAGAACTTATTTCATTTTAAAATAAAATCAGATTGAATTTGTTATCATCTCCCGTAATAGCAATCACATATTAAAACAATAGTGCAGCAATGACTTGAAAGTAGTCATAACAAGGACATATTAATGTAGCTTGCAACAAGCTTTAATGGCTAAGAACACAAGCAACCATCTTCCTAATAGTCATCACTTTTATGGAAATTCTCATTCAACAAATCTAAAATTCAAAAAATAAATTATCATGCAGTAACAATCAATATATATATATATATATATAATAAACAAATTCACAATAAACCGAACTGTAATAATTGGCTTCTATTGCATCTTTCCCAAACAATTGCTTTAAATCTTATATGCTGAGAAGAAAATTAAAAGGAAATATGACATACTAGAGTAGAGATATAGCTTGCAAGTGCCAACTGTTACAATACCATATAGACTATTTAAATTGAAGCTTTTATGAGGTAGGCTCATAAATGTCAGATTCATTACCAGCAACAATAGAGCTAACTATTATAAGACTATATAGACTACCTATATTGAAGCTTTTTATGAGGTAGGCTCCTAAAGGACAGAATCAATACTAACAACAACATATTCCTTCAATAGAAAAATAAAAACAAAAAAAAAATAATTAACAACAATAATAAAAAAGATGAAAAATGAATAGATTCATCAACAATTAGAGAAAGACACTATAAAAATTTAAAAAGAAAAACGAAAAAGAGAGAATTCACAAATTGGGCAATAATCTCAAATTTTGTTCTCTCTCTTCTTTACTATGCAGGAATCAAAACCTAATTGCTATTTCTTTCTCGTGTCAAGTGTTTGCATTGAAGTTTGGTAGGACTTAGAGAGAGAGAGAGAGAGATTGGAGTTTTAATGGTATAAGGAATAGTTTAATGTTAGAATCTTTGTTGGGTTAGTAAGGGCAAATAAGTTACTTTGATGGTACAAAAAATTGTTTGCTTTGTAATTAACAAAATTCGATATGGAAATAACGCCACCCTATTTATATTTCATACATATAAATGGTAAAATTGTAATTTTGCAATAATGTCATTTTCTTTCCTCCATAATCTGAGTCTTTCCAAACCAATGAAAATAATTTTATTTTCATTCATTTCTTTTATTTTCCTTCCATTCCAAACATAAGGAGGGAAATGAATAGTATAATCCTACATTATTTTCTTTCCTCATTTTCATTCCTCCCCTAATTTCCTTCCCCCCCCCCCCCCCCCCCCTCCCTAATTCCTTCCCCCTCCCCCCCCCCCTCAACTAAATTAGGATATAGTTGCTGGTAGACAGAGGTATGAATTCTTTGGTTTCGAGGGATTATAACAAGAAAAATGTTTCTTCAAAAAACTATTTTCCATATTCTAATGCTAAATCAAAAAGTTATTTACCAATCTAATGTTCTTTGTCCTACCATGGATGAGAGAATGTTGGCACCCCCCCCCCAAAACATAACATTAGGATATAGTTGCTGTAGACAGAGAGTATGAATCTTGGTTTCGAGGGATTATAACAAAAAAAATGTTCTTCAAAAAACTATTTTCCAATCTAATGCTAAATCAAAATTATTTACCAATCTAATGTTTTGTCCTACCATGGAGAGAGAATGTTGCACTAAAGTCACAAACTCGATTGGCAATTTCAATACAGTAGACAAAGTAATTCATACTGACAAGTAGTTAGCAAAAAATAATTATATGAATAATTAATAATTTTTATTTAATATTGAGACCACCAATTCAACCAGTGGTTTCAATAGAAAATAAAAATTTTAAATTGTCAAATGATCTTTTTACTAAAACACATAATGCATTTGGTGGTTTTAGTGCAAATATAGGATGTGATCAATAGTCAATAAAAAGTACAGGGAGAATAATGTTATGTTAAGAGTCCATTAGGTTAACTAATGGTTTCAATAAAAAAATATTTATTTACCTCAAGTATTTTTTCACCAAAACACACATACTTTTGATGATGACAACCCAACAAACCTATATTTCTTTCCTCAAAATGAGCAAGGCAACACCATTTCAACATACTGTACCTACTTTTACTACTTCTATGGCATTTTTCAGCATACATGATGGATCTATATCCCATGTTAGACACTCATTTAATGATTTTTTTAAGATGATGATGACATCCGATCAACAGACTCGCCTGAAATTGTTCGGCTCATAACAATCATTTGTAAATATGATTCAAGCTCCTCGCATGAGTATCGATATAAATATTGAGCATGGAGAAAAATATCAGGGCATTAGAGAAGATGCAGTACGCTGAAACTCGGGTCGTAATAGGAGGCCTCCAAGATGTGTATATAAAGACACATGAGTAGACATTAATATGACTAATTTTTCATGTATTAGTTATTAAGATATTTGTAACATAATATAAGTTCAACTTCAAACACTTTATTGCTGTTGATAATTTGTAACTGTGTAAAAAAACTTATGTTTTTATCACTTAACTTGAAATATTTATGAACTAAAACTTCTAGATGATATGTGTTCCGATGAAAAAAATAATTTGAGTAAATAAATATTTTTTTATTGAAACCATTAGTTAACCTTGTGTACTCTTAACAAAACATTATTTTCTCATATACTTTTTGCTAACTAATATATTTGCACTAAAACCACTAAATGAATTGTGTGTCTTAGTGAAAGGTCTTTGACAATTTAAAAATTTTATTTTGTATTGAAAGCACCAGTTGAATTGGTGGTCTCAATGCAAAATAAAAATTACTCCCTTCGTCCAAAAAGATAATCCACTTCTTATTTTCATACAGATTAACAAAGTAGCAATTATTATGATTAAAAGATAATTTTATTTATATAACTTTTATGTTATACTCATTTTAAATAACATATAAAGTAATTATTATATTAGAATAATAAGTAAGAATTAATGAAGGTTATTAAAAATAAGATAAAATTTAATAAAATTATAATGACAATTTAAGAATTAACTATAATCTACAAATATAAAGTGGAGTATATTTTGGGACAAACTAAGAAGTAAAGATGAATTATCTTTTTGGGATTGAGGAGAAATTCTTTATTCATATGAGAATTCTTTATTCATGTAATTGCTTGTTACTGACTGTTTGACAACAGAGTTACTCGGTTTATTGCACTTGATGATTAACTTTGATTTGACATTATAACTGGAAATAGTTGTTTGAACAATATTAATTTTGTTAAAAAAAAAGGTTTCGATTCATTTAAACAAAAATTTTTCTCTCAAAGTCAAATTAAACTAAAAAGCCAAATTTTATTCAAATTGAAAACCATATCCGAACCAAGGACTGAAAAAAAAACTAAACAACCGAACTGCATCGGCGAGTTATGGTTTTTTCATTTTTTCTCACGCCCCTAGATGGTGTACATTGGTTTGGACTTTGGAGTATTCCAATAAATTTCAAAGCGAATAATTGAATAGAAACAAAAAGAGAGAGATTGTTCTGTCCAACCTTTGTTTGTCTCTCCAAACGCATCAGAGCAAGAAATATCTGGATTTTAAGCTCTCAACTGTGAAGGGAGAATGGTGTTTGAAGAGTTTGAACACATCTATGGTGAACCCAAAGCGGAATGGGCAAATAAATCAAATTCGGAATCAGTTCCATTACGTCGATTCTTGATGCATGTTTTTGCTCCTGATTACTATCATCTCAAAATTCATGTAACTGATTATCACTCTAACACTTTCGAGGCCGTTAAATCGGTTATGCAGCTTGAGGACATGGTCAGCTCTTCTTTATCCTCTGTTTTGAGTTTAACGCATTATCTGTTTGTTTTCGAAAATTTTCATTTGTTTTTTACCTTCTGATTTGTATATGCTCTACATTGAAAAGCAAGCACAAGGTTTTTCTTTTTCCGATATTATTTCTTGCTTTTGTTCGTTAGGATACTTATACTTTGGTTTATCTTTGCTTGATTGGAGGGGAATAGTGAAAAAGGAGAGTGTTTTGGGTTATACATTTTTGGTGGCCTACTAATTTATTTCCTCATCCTTGTTATGAGCTTCTATTTACTCTTGAATTATTGAGGAAGAAGACATTTCTTCTGTCGTAGTCCTAGTCCTACATTTTTAATAGTATTGTTAACGTTGAGTTGTTAGGTTGATTATGCATCCAAAGAATTCTATAATTATGAAATACTGTAATGTAGTTATTCCTTGTAAATGAAAAGAATAATGGAAGACAAGCCATGAGAATTATTTTGTTTTTGGAATTTCTCATCAATTGGATAATATGAAAGGTTTCTGAATCTGAAATATAGACTGTTTCACAAATTACTTCTACTTAATACTATTTTTTCTCTATTTTTCTTTATTTTTATTTGCTTAATCTGATATGCAGAGGGATACCATTGGAGTTGGCGGCTCCTGGTCCGAATTTGTTGACTACATCATAGCTTCTGTTAAATCTGAAGATGTAAAGCTTGTTTTGGAGAAAAATCCAGACTCAGGTGGTTACTGATTATCTGTTTCTCTCGCCATCCTTGATGGATCCTTAATTGCTTCAGAAATGATTAATACATAGTTTGGTATATTTTGTTTTCATAGTGCAATTAATTGTCTAGTGGGAATTTTGTGTTAGTCAAATATAGAACTTAATTGCTTCAGAAATAATTAGTAACTTCAGTTTTGGTATATGTTGTATTTTTCATTGTACAATAATTGCCTAGTTATAAATGTGTGTTAGCCCTATAGTTATGCATTGTGTGTTTGGCGGTCAATAGTACATACTTTGGCTGATTTTGAAAGTTAAGTACGGCTGTAGGGTGAACTAGATGCACTCGTGATTCTTACAAGTTTTAAACCTTAATTTGTTTGGTGGTTATATATGTCTTTGTAGTTTGTCTAAGACATGTTTTGGTTGTCCTACTTTATAGTGATGAGGAGTCCAATTAAAGTGAGTTTGAATTCTCAATGTAAATGCATATTTTGTTATGTGCTCCATAAAGGTTATATATTTTTATTTGCAATTCTAGTATCTATCTGTGAATACCCAAATTTTAAGCACAACTGAACATAGAACGGCAGTAATACTTAGATGACTGTTATAAATTTGGTTTGGTTGGATGACTGTTAAGATGATAGTGGCAGTAATCATATAATTGATTGAAAACTGAAGTTATCTTGAATGTTTTTATGCTTAGTATGGTCAATTGCTGTGGTTGATGATGAGACTCAAACATTCTTTTGTATACGCACTTAATATTTTGTTTTTTGAGGGAGAGAGTGACTTTAGGAATTACACAAGACATATACTCAATTCATGTTAATTTATATTCTGTGTTTAGGTCTAGCATCTGCAAAATTAGTTGCTCAGAAATCAAAAGGAATGCCCGTGATCTCCTTTTCTATGACAAATCTTGTGGACTCTGCTGCAAATGATGCTATGGAAAATATATCTTTTGGGCTCTTCAAGGCATTGAAATGCATGCAAAATTTGACAGTGCAAGGTTGTCTTCTCCTTTTCTTTTATATGAAGTCACTAGCTCTTTTTCTCATCATTTTCTCTTTTTCTCATCATTTAATCTCCTATTAGGAAAAGTAAGGGTCACTTATTATCTAGTTATTTGTTGGTACTCTTATGAGTTTTTGTTTAAGAATTCAAGTTAACATGATGATTAGAAGTACCAATAGTTAGGGGTACGAATGAGCCGAGTTGAATTGAGTTTTGAAGAGCTCAAGCTTGGCTCCCCAATTTTCATTAAGCTCGAGCTTGACTCAATTAAATTTTATGGAGCTTTAGCCCAACTTAATCTTAGCTCAGTTAGCAGCTCAATTGCAAGCTTAACTCAAGCCTGGCTTGTTAGCTTGTTTGGAGCCATTAACAAGCTCAGAAAACCCTTGATTTGAGCTCAATAAAAGGGCGATCCAATGCACGAAGCATCTCAGATGTGTGGGCTCTAGAGAGGGCTGATTTACACAGCCTTTCCCCTACTTTTTTGTAGAGAGTCTGTTTCCATGGCTCGAACCTATGACTTCTAGGTCACAAGTGTAGTAACTTTACCATTGCCAAACTACAATTTGAATTAGGCCAATTGTTAGCACGCCAACCTAATAAAGTCCTAAATATTTCAGAGCTTTTGTAAAATTGCAAGGCAAAGATCTGCTGCTTCTCTTTTTCTAAGGTAAGCAAAGCCTCCTTTCAAATTTGTCCACATCTATGAAAAAATCTTTGGAAAATAAGTGAAAGTTAAATAAATTCGCGGTCAAAGACTTTTCTGCACTTAGGAATTCACTTTAGAAAACCACGGTACAAATGAAGATATAGGTTTCACATTTAGATTTCCTCAGCCATCAATTCATAGGCAAAGATTATGTTGCAGGCTTGTGGCCCTAGAGATAGAAATGCTTCTGAAATTTGTATATGGATCTTTGTTGATCCTTTTGAAAGGTAAAAAAGTTGCAAAAACTTAAGTAATCTTAAACATTTAGGGGTTTATCCTTCTATTAGAAAACAAAAACCTTTTCGACTACTCTGCCAATTACAATTATAATATTCAAAATATAAAAAGACTCATTGAAGTTCAATAGCAAAAATCAAACTTATGCCCATGCAAAACTGTTAGCATGCTAGTTGCAAGACTAGGTATAGGACTTGTCTTGGATCCCACATTGAAAATATAGGATTTCAATGTGGGGTTGATATGAATTTGGATTTCCAACCTTAACGGCTAGCTTTTTGAGGTGTGGTTCTCCCAATGTCATACCGATTAGTATCAGATCCAACCACTGCTTCTCACAGTTGCCATTCAGCGCTGCAAGTGATCGGTAATCCAGTTTTCGCCTTGGGCTAGGAAAAACTGAGCACACATCCAACCTACCACAAGCCAACCTGTCGTGGGTTGTGGGACTGCGGAGGGCGGTGGGTTATTAGGATCTTATTTGCAAGACAAGGTTTGGGACTTGTCTTAGATCCCACATTGGAAGCATGAGATTTCAATGTGGGGTTTATATGAACTTGGGCTATCAAAACTTAATGGTTAGCTTTTGATATATGTTTCTCCCAAGATCATTTCAAAAATTTAGTGAATCCTTTGATGCACTTTTGTGTTTGTCTTTCTTTGCATGGAATGCTTCAAAGAGTTTCTATGTGCCAATTCCTTTTGGTTGGTTTTCATTTCTTATCTTTCTTTCAAGTAATATAGTAGACTTCAGATTTTATACTCTATTGACATGTCCAACTGCATATATATATGTATGTGTGTATATATATATATTCCAAATCTTTTTTTCTTATTTTTTTCTTTTAATGAAATTCTCAATAGATCAACAAAATATGAAGTGCTTATAAAAAAATTACTTATTGATAATTGACTATGCTATAATCTCTTCCACCTGTAAAATCACAAGAAAAAAGGACAATAAATCAAAGAAGGGTTTTATTCTGACTCGTCAATGATGGTATCTTTCCTCGTGATTTCTATTTTTGTTTCTGTTTGTTCTCTTAGGTTTCTTGTAAGGTTCTCTTTCCAACTATCAGACTTGCATTGCCTTCCTTGATTTTCCAACAATCAAAAAGATTTCTCATCACAAATTGTAATTGCTCCCAGATGACAAAATTTAGATCATTTGTAATTACTCTGTTGACTTGTCTATAGACTATTTAGGAATTTACGTCTCCTAATTAGAATTAGATTTGGTTTCCTGTTTAGACTTGTATTTTTGTGTATAAATAGGGTGTGTTAATGTCATTGAAAAATCAGAAAACAGAGAAATAATTCTATAATTCTCCTTGATAATCTTTAAAATTCCAAGTTGGTATCAGAGCTAGCCCGGAATCAGATTGGAAACTATTAGGCTTAGTTTGGTTTCTTTTCTATTAAATCGTTTAGGACGGAGAGTGGAGTGACACCGCCTAGCTAAGAAGGTAGCCCAGCCGCTGATCAGCCTTACGCCAGAAACCAACGACTGTCCGGCGAAGCGCGTGTGCTCACTTGCCTTAAGAGCTTCCAACGTCTCTTCCATGCGCCGGTGCATGACACAGTTTTCCGGCGACTTTTTTCGGTCGTCTGCCCTTCCTCTAGCGACCCTGTTCCAGGTGCTAAAACCAATTTTGGTTGAGGTTTCATTGGCTGTCTCTTTTAATTCGTACAAAAACGGTACTGTTCCTGCCTGTTTCATTGATTTTTGAAATGGGTGATTTGAAAAAAACTACTGAAACTGCTGAACCCACTGAAATTAAATCTAGTTTTTCTAATGGTAATCCCTCTTTGCAAATCAGCCCTGTAAAGCTTGATGGCACTAATTTCCTTGCTTGATCAAGGTCTTTTCTCTTACTTTTTAAAGCTAGAGGACTACAGGGATACCTTACTGGAACTAAAACCCAACCTAAAACAACCAGTTCAACCTTTGATAAATGGGATTTTGAAAATGCTTATGTCATGTCTTGGCTTATTAATCCCATGCAACCTCAGATTTCTAGTGGGTATTTGATGTTGGATATTGCAGAAAATATTTGGAAGACTGTTTCCCAAACGTATTCTCAACATGGGAATGATGCACAAGTTTATGAAATTCGGAACAAAGTTCAAGGAACAGAGCAAGGTGAGATGACCATTAGTCAGTATTATGCTGAATTGAATAGTTTGTGGCATAAACTTGATTACTATGAAGATTATCATCCCAATGTGAAGCTAATGTGGTAGGATATGAGAGGAAAGTTGAGAAGGAACGCAGATATGATTTTCTTATAGGTTTGAATACTGAATATGATCTAATACGGATTCAAATCTTAGGGAAAGACCCTATGCCTTCGTTGCAGCAAACATATTCCTATGTTCAACAGGAAGAAAGCCGGAGAGCTGTCATGCTTACTACTGCTTTTGTTGAGAAATCCAGACTTCACGTTTCTCAACCTGCAAAAAATACCTAAATTTCTTTAAATAAAGATCGATTAGTATGTGATTACTGTGGAAAGCCAAGACATACTATAGAAAGCCAAGACATACTATAGAATCGTGTTGGAAATTGCATGGACGACCAACTAGGGGTTGTGGTGGTAAAAGGATGGGTTTCTCTAGACCTGTTGCACACCAAGCTGAAGTAGTAGCAGTACCTGAAGCATCGTTTGTTGGGAGTTTCTCTACTGAAGAGGTACAATCACTAAAGCGTCTTTTGTCAAAGTTTGAGTCTTCTTCCACCTCTGCTGCTTCTTCCAATTTGTGCAATCAGGTATGGCCCTTCTTGCTACTTATGTTGATGATGATTCATGGGTTATAGATTCAGGAGCAAATAAACATATGACGAGCTCTTCTAATAAATTCATAACCTATTCATCTTGTTTTGGCAAAGAAACTGTTCATGTTGTAGATGGTTCTTTTGCACCCATTGCAGGCACAGGTTCTATTAAGTGCACACCTACCATTGATCTAACTTCTGTCCTTCATATACCCAGTTTTCCTGTAAACCTTTTATCTATTAGTGCTATTACAAAAGCCCTAAATTGCAAAGTTGAATTTTTTCCTACTCATTGTGTTTTGCAGGATCTGAGAACAGGGAAAACGATTGGTTTTTGTAGATTGTATGATGGCTTATATCTCCTGGAAAAGAGTTGTAGTTCTTTGGCTCCCTATATTACTCGAGCTCTATTAGGAAATCATAATAATCATAGTCAAGAAATAATTATGTGGCACAGGCAATTAGGGCATCCCTCTTTTCTAGTCCTAAGGAGATTATATCGGAGTCTTTTTGAGCATTGTCAGTTAGAATATTTAGTTTGTGATGCTTGTGAACTTGCCAAACATAAAATACAAGAAGTTCTTATATTTTCCATAATAATAATAAGTTCAGTTCCTTTTCATGACTATTCAATTCTTGATGCATGGGGCCCCTACTTCCTACTGTGTGTGTGGTGTATCTGGTTATAAATGTTTGTGACCTTTATTGATTGTTGTTTACTAGAGTTAACTTGGGTTTATTTGCTAAAGCAAAAAGATGAAGTGTTTTCTTGCTTAAGTCTTTCAATAACATGATTAGTTCCACATTTTGATGCCCAAATGTGAAAAACTTTGAAGAACTGATTAATGGAACTTGAGTATGTTGAATAGCATGCTTTTTCAAGCCTTACTTAGACTCTATAGACATCAATATATCAAAAACTAGCTGTGTAAATTACTAAAGCTGCTCAAAATGGGCGTTGAAGAAAAAATAGGCATTTACATGAGGTAGCTACATCCCTTATATTCATTCCATGAATGTTCCAAGAACCTTATTGGGAGATGCAGTCTACTCTCTGCAGCTTAGCTTATAATCAGGATGCCTCTTAGAAAACACTCAATTTTCAAAAGTCCTTAGCTGCTTTACAGGGTAGCACCTATTACTATTGTTCCTCCAAATGTATTTGGTGTGTTTGTTTTGTTCCATTCACAGGCATGGGAGCCCAAGTCGGAACTTAGAGCTTTTGAAAATTTGTGTTTGTTGCGTTACGCATGCCTACCCCAAAAAAGGAGTATAAGTTGTTATCATCCCCCCTTAATCTGCAAATTCTTTTGAGTCATGGATGGTGATCTTTAGAGAGTCCGAGTCTTATCTCTCCCAAACTCCTCTGAGGGG